TTTACAGGTATTTGTTTCTTTTTTTTCTGCCCTTTAAATACAGGTAGTCCCAGGTTACAAACGAGATCTGTTCCTAACTCTGTCTTTAAGTCAGATTTGTAGGTAAGTCAGAACAGGTGCATACGGTTCTTATTAAGCCTTACGTTACTGCAAGAAAAGGCTTCAAGTCATTTCAAAGTAAGGGCAAATTTACATAACATTAAAGGGCAAGTATGAGTTGTCCATAAGTTGGATATTCATAATCTATGGACTGCCTGTATGTCATCACACTATATTCTTGTCTCCATGATACCTTAATTTTTTGAGAATCCTTCATGTATCACTTCTTTTGCTTTTTTCAAGATTCTCTCTGCTTTGGCTTTCAGCAGTTTAATTAAAATTTCTCTCAGTGTGGACCTCTTTCAGTTATTCTTTCTTGGAGTTCATTGAGCTTTTTGGATATGCAAATTCATGTCTTTCATAAAATTTGGGACAATTTGAGCCGTTATTTCTACAAATACTCTTTTTGCCCTTTTTTATCTCTCTTCCCTTTTGGGTACACCTGTAATGCATATGTTGGTTTACTTGATGGTGCTCTGCAAACATGTCTGGTTCTGTTTACTTTTCTTCGTTCTTTTTTCTTTCTGTTCGTCAGACAGTAATTTCAATTGTCCTATACCAAGTTCTCTGATTCTTCTGCCCACTGAGATATGGTATTCAACTCCTCTAGTGAATTTTTCATTTTAGTTATTGTACTCTTTGTATTGTTCCAAAATTTGGTTCCTTTGTGTAATTCATATCTCTTTATTGATATTTTCATTTTCTTATTATCGTTAGTTGCCAACCCCATGAGTGTGGTAGAACTGCTCCATAGGGTTTTCAAGGCTGTGACCTTTTGAAGAAGATTGCCAGGCCTGTTTTCTAAGGTGCCTCTGGGTGGGTTCAAACTGCCAAACTTCCAGCTAGTAGTTGAGCACTTAACCTTTTGCACCACCCAGGGACTCTCTCATTTTGTTTGTACATTGTTTTCCTTTAGTTTTGTCCGTGTTTTCCTTTAGCTCTCTCCAGCTCACTCTGGGACTGCAGGCTGCCACCATGATAAGACTGCTACCTAACCAGGGAGCAGTTGAGGCGTGGGCAAGTTGAAAATTCCACAAAGCTCCTACCATTTCGCAGTCACCTTTTTCTTGACTCTGTATTTGATTAGTTGCTGTAAACCTCTGACTGGTTCTGAAGTTCTTACAAAGTTGAATATTTTCTGCTCTGTGTGTGTGTTTCCTGGTGGACAGAGCATGCAATTATTTATGTTACCTTCTTGCTGACCTGAGTCCTGTTTCTCTCCATTCTTTTACTTTTAGTATTTCTGTCTTTATAAGTAATGTGGATTTCTTAAATATCTACCTTATTTGTTACCGTTTTCTGTTTCTTACTCTGTGTTTTTTTGTTCCACCCATTCTCTCTTCTGTTGTATTTTATCATTTTATTTTTATTTTCTCTCCACATTTAGCATATTTTTTTCTCTTTTAGTGATTGCTCTAGAGTTTGCATTATGTTTATAAGTAATCCAGTCCACTTAAAAATTACAGTATACCTCTTCACCAGTAGTGTATCTTAAAAGAGTTTTCCCAGTTCTTCCCTCCTGTCCCTTATAACATTGCTGTTCTTCATTTCACTCACCAATATGTTATAATCACTGAATCTATCGTGTTGTTGTTGTTAGGTGACTTTGAGTCAGTTCCAATTCATAGCAGCCCTGTGTACAACAGAACATAACACTGCCTGGTCCTGTGCTATCCTCACTGTCGTTATGCTTGAGCCCATTGTTGCAACTGTTGTATCAGCCCATCTCGTTGAGGGTCTTCCTCTTTTTCACTGACCCTCTGCTTTACCACGCATGATGTCCTTCTCCAGGGACTGGTCTCTCCTGATAACATGTCCAAAGTATGTGAGATGAAGTCTCACCATCCTTGCTTCTAAGGAGCATTCTGGTTATACTTCTTCCAAGACAGATTTGTTAGTTCTTCCAAGACAGATTTGTTAGTTCTTCTGGCAGTCCATGGTATATTCAGTATTCTTCTCCAACACCATAATTCAAAGGTATCAATTTTTCTTCAGTCTTCCTTTTCATTTTCCAGCTTTTGCATGCATATGAGGTGATTGAAAACACCATGGCTTGGGTCAGGTGCTCCTTAGTCCTTAAAGTGACATCTTTGCTTTTTGACACATTAAAGAAGTCTTTTGCAGCAGATTTGCCCAATGCATTGATTTCTTGACTGCTGCTTCCATGGGCATTGATTGTGGCTCCAAGTAAAATGAAATCCTTGACAACTTCAGTCTTTTCTCCATTTGTCGTGACATTGCTTGGTCCAGTTGTGAGGATTTTTGTTTTCTTTATATTCAGGTGTAATCTATACTGAAGGCTGTGGTCTTTGATCTTCATCAGTAAGTGCTTCAAGTCCTCTTCACTCTCGGCAAGCAAAGTTGTATCATGTGCATAACTTAGGTTGTTAATGAGTTTTTCTCCAATCTTGATGCCCTATTCTTCATGTTGTCCAGCTTCTCTGATTATTTTCTTAGCATACAGAGTAAGTGTAGTGAAAGGATACAACCTTGATACACACCTTTCCTGATTTTGAACCATGCAGTATTTCCTTGTTCTGTTTGAATGACTGCGTTTTGGTCTATGTGCAGGTTCTGCATGAGTACAGTTAATAGTTCTAGAATCTACTGTGGTTATTTAACAAACTGTTGTTCTGTTAGATAAATTAAGAATAAAAAAGGTAAAATATTTTACTTTTTTTCTCTAATGCTCTTCCATTCTTTTTACACGTCCGAGTTTCTGACCAATATCATTTTCTTCTGTTCTACGAAGACCTTTCTTTAACGTTTCTTGCAAGACAGGTATACTGGCAACAAATGTCCTCAATATTTGTCTGAGAATGGCTATATTTTTCCTTCACTTTTAAAGGATAATTTACTAGACACTGAATTCTAGGTTGGTTGTTTTAGTCTTTTAGTCCTTTAGTATTTTATTCCATTGTCTTCTTGCTTGCATGGCTTTTCAATACAAGTCAGCTATACTTAATCTTCCTCCTGTGTAGATAAGATCTGTTTTTTTCCTGTGGCTTCTTTTCCATTTTTTTTGCAATTTAAATGTGATGTATCTAGGTATAAATTTTATTGTATTAATTTTGTGTGGTGGTCTCTGAACTTTTGGGTCTGTGGTTTGGGTTTCTGTCATTAATTTTGTAAGAATTTCAGCCAGTCTTCAAATATTTACTTTCTTTCTTTCTTCTGGTATTCTCATTATGCATCTGTGACACCTTTTTGTTCACAGTTCTTGGATATTCTGTTCCCTTTTTGTTCCTTATTCTTTGTATTTCAGTTTTGCATGTTACTGCTGACCTGTCTTCAAACTCAGTGATTTTTCCTTGGCCATGTCCAATCTATTGCTGATCCCATTAAAGGCATTCTTTGCTTTTATTACAGTATTTTTTTCTCTTTTGACAACTTTTTTTTTCTTATACAAAAATTTATACATACATTGTTATGTGACTCTAATTGCTCTCCTCATACTGTGACAGCACACTCTTCCCTACCACCCCTGATTCCCCATGTCCATTCAACCAGCTCCTAACTCTCTCTGCCTTCCCATCTTACCTCTGGACAGAAGCGGCCCATTTAGTCTCTTGTGTCTACTTGAGCTAAGAGGCACACTCCTCATGAGTATCACTTTATGTCCCACAGTCCAATCCCTGTCTTAAGAGTTGGCCTCAGAAATTGTTTTAGTTCTGGGCTGATAGAGAATCCAGGGGCCATGCTTTCTGGGGTTCCTCCCATCTCAGCAGACCATTAAGTCTGGTCTTCTTACTAGAATTTGAGTTCTGCACCCCACCTTTCTCCTTCTCCATCAGGGACTCTCTGTTCCCTGTCAGGGCAGTCATTGGTGGTAGCCGGGCACCATCTAGTTCTTCTGGTCTCAGGCTGATGAAGTCTCTGGTTTATGTGGCCCTTTCTGTCTCTTGGTCTAATACTTTCCTTTTGTCTTTGGTGTTCTTCATTCTCCTTTATTCCAGGTGGTTGGGACCAATTGATGCATCTTAGATGGCCACTGCAAGCTTTTAAGACTCCAGACACCACTCATCGAAGTAGGATGCAGAACATTTTCTTAATTAACTTTTTATGGCAATTGACCTAGATGTCCTTGGAAATCATGGTCCCCAGACCCCTACCCTGCTATTACAGTATTTTTGATTTCCAGGATTTTCTGTTGATTTTTTTTAGAGTTTCCATTTCTCTGCTCACATTACCTGTTCTTTCATGTGGTCTACTTTTTCAATGGGAGGGCTTTTTATATGAATCATCACCGTCACACCTGTTGCAGTCAAGTATATTCCAATTCATAGCGACCCCATAGGACAGAAATGCCCCATAGGGAATAGTTGTATTAAATTCCCAGTCTGTTAATCCCAAATTATTTGCCGTATCTGAGCCAGGCTCTGATGCTTGCTTTGTCTAATCAACAGGAAAATCTGCCAGTTTCTCACTCTAAGTTATTAATAATTCATCTTGCTTTCACCCTGTGCTTCATGTTTTGTTGTGTATTTCAGCTGATCTTACGGAAGGAGGCGAATTTGATTTTTTCCATAAAGAAATGATTATCTGAATGTGGAAATAGGTCTTTCATAGAGAATTTCTTTCCTTTCTGCTATGTTTTCTGCCTGTTCTGAACTATAAATATAGAGAGGAATAAGATTGGATAGGTCATAGTTAATCTGTGGGGAGATAAGTGCAGTATGTTAGAAATATTGTTAAATCTATGACATTAGATGCCAACAGTAAAGAGGTCAATGTAGTTAATGAATGGAAAACACTGATGGTCAAAATCTAGAGTAGAATATAGAACCTTTTATGACCTCCTTATGAATTCTCAGTTCCTCGGGAGTGTCAGCCTCACCCATCCTTTTGCACATATTGGGGAGATGGTACCTTGCTGATCCAGAATATGTGTGATGTTTTAGGACTCAGTGGTCTTTGAGGATGTGGCTGTGGAATTTACTCAGGAAGAATGGGCTTTGTTGGATTTTTCTCAGAAGAAACTCTACAGAGATGTGATGATGGAAACCTTCAGTAACCTGGACTCAGGTAAGCACAGCTTCATTTTTCTTATTTACTTATTTGTTGAATAAATATATTGTACTCATGGCACAGTGGTTAAAGAGCTATGGCTGCTAACAAAAAAGGTTGACAGTTCATATCCACCAGCCACTCCTTGGAAACCTCATCAGGCAGTTCTACTCTGTCCTGTAGAATCGCAAGGAGCTTCAGAATCAACTCGACAGCAACAGAGTATTTCATCGACCTTCTTGTAGGATTTGGGTTGAGGAATTGGAATACATTGACAAACATGACAGGTGTTTTCACTGCTCTCATGGGGCTTACACTCTAGTGGCTTCCCCACGGAAGTAAAAATTTATGTATTAAATTGACTATTAGCTGAGCATCAGGGAAATGTGCTTCTCTATCTCCTCTCATCATTTGCCTTTCTCCATGAGCACCATATCAAGTACACTAATTTTTCTCCCTAAGAAGAGAAAGATCTTAGAGTAGAGATAGGACTTATCCAGAGCTGTAGTGTCAGGGAGAAGGAAGAAGGCAAGAATCCTTTGAAAGACCAGCCCTGCTAGGATGGAATTACATTTGAAGAAATCAACTCAAAATAATCTTTTGCTCTGAGGAGGTGGAACTTACACATATAACTGAGCTGAGTTTTTTGAGTTTTCATTAATCCCGCGATACCTTCTGTGTTTGCGGGAAAAGACTTCCACCATTTCCTCTTTTAATATCATCTTAACGCACATAATTGTTTGCAGTGTTTTTTTATTTTATTTTCATGAAGACATCCTATTTATATAACCATCACTTTCAATTGTTATAGAATTATTTGTAAATTTCTTACTCTTAACCATTGCCAAAGTCATGTAACAGCCAAATACTTCAAAGTCTGTTTTTGTTTTATGTGCCTTGTTCCTCATAAAATGTTCTCACTGTTTTATTTTGTGAAACTGCACTTAAAATTATCGGGTCAGTTTTTAAACAGGATAATAATGAACAAGCCTTATCCGTAAAGAGTGACTCCTGGTCCTCTGTGTTAGGAGAAATCTGTGAATTCCATGGCAGTATACATCAGTACAACAACCAAGGAAGGCACTTGAAGTGAGTATCTTTCACATGACAATGAGCGATCCTTCAGGATAGTCTTAAGATGTCATGATATTTGTGCATGTGTGTGTACATATATAACTAGCTCTAAAATGTGTGTATAATGAACTCTTAAATGGTGAGTTCATGTAATTTTTACAATGCAATACATAAATGTGTATCAGATATTATTTGAAACATACTTAATTTGTACCCAGTTATCAGAAAGACTCATTATTTAGAAAAACTATTGGCACAGTGGTTAAGAAATTGGCTGCTAACCGAAAGGTTGGCAGTTTCGAATCTACCAGCTACTCCTTGGAAACCCTATGGGGCAGTTCTACTATGTCCAACAGGGTCACTATGAGTCGGAATCTACTCAAGTTTGCTTTTGGGTGACAGTAACAGTAGTGCTCTCTGTTAGATGATTCAAGTTATGCAGTATGAGACAACTCGGCAGAAAGTATACACATTCACTGTGTATGGTAATTGTGAAATGGTAACAAATTCTAACAACGTTCTTCCTGTTTTTAACAGAACATGTACAGTAGAGAGCCTCTATGAAAATAAAGATGGTAAAGTAAATAAAGGTGAAGAAGGCAATCAGTGTGGAAAAAATTTCAGCTGGATTGGAAATCTTACTAGTCTCAAAAGAACATCTGCGGGAGTAAATCCTTTTGAATGCCTTGAATGTGGAAAAACCTTCATCAATCATTTATCATTTAAGTATCACATCAAATCTCACACTGGATACAAACCTTATCATTGTAAGGAATGTGGAGAAGACTGCATTTGTCATTCTTACCTAAAACCCTGTGTGAGAGAGAAACTTTGTAAATGTAAGGATTATGGGAAACCTTGTAATTGTTTCTTATCCCTCACTAAGCGTATAAGAATTCACAGTGGAGAGAGGCCTTACGGATGTAAGGAGTGTGGGAAAGCCTTTAGTTATCTTTCAAGCCTCACTAGACATATAAGAACTCACAGTGGAGAGAGACTTTTTGAATGTAAGAAATGTGGGAAAACTTTCAGTTGTTCCTCATCCCTTGCTACACACATAAGAACTCACAGTGTGGAGAGGCCCTATGAATGTAAGGAATGTGGGAAAGATTTTCGTTATTTCTCAGATCTCACTAAACATATAAAAACACACAGTGGAGAGAGGCCTTATGAATGTAAAGAATGTGGGAAAGCCTTTATTTATCTGTCAAGCCTCACTAGACATATAAGAACTCACAGTGGAGAGAGGCTTTTTGAATGTAAGGAATGTGGGAAAGCCTTTAGTCGTTCCTCATCCCTGGCTAAGCATATAAAAACTCACAGTGAAGAGAAGCCTTATGAATGTAAGGAATGTGGGAAAGCCTTTCGTTACTTCTCAGATCTAACTAGACATATAAGAACTCACAGTGGAGAGAGGCCTTATGAATGTAAAGAATGTGGGAAAGCCTTTATTTGTTCCTCATCTCTCACTACACATATAAGATCTCACAGTGGAGAGAGGCCTTATGAATGTCAGGAATGTGGGAAAGCTTTTACTCGATCCTCACACCTCACTACCCATATAAGAACGCACAGTGAAGAGAGGCCTTATGAATGTAAAGAATGTGGGAAAGCCTTTAAGCAGTTTGCAGAACTCACTAGACATGTAAAAGTTCACAGTGGAGAGAATCCTTATGAATGTAAGGAATGTGGGAAAGCCTTTAGCTGTTCTTCATCTCTTACTACACATATAAGATCTCACAGTGGAGAGAGGCCTTATGAATGTGAGGAATGTGGGAAAACCTTTATTCGGTCCTCACACCTCACTACCCATTTAAGAACGCACAGTGAAGAGAGGCCTTACGAATGTAAAGAATGTGGGAAAGCCTTTAAGCATTTTTCTGAACTCACTAAACATGTAAGAATTCACAGTGGAGAGAAGCCTTATGAATGTAAGGAATGTGGAAAAGCCTTTAGTCAGTTTTCACGACTCACTAGACATGTAAGAGTTCACAGTGGAGAGAAGCCTTATGAATGTAAGGAATGTGGAAAATCCTTTAGTCAGTTTTCATATCTCAGTGGCCATATAAGAGCTCACAATGGATACAGGCCTTATGAATGTAAAGAATGTGGGAAAGCCTTTATTCGGTCCTCACACCTCACGGAACATATAAGAACGCACAGTGGGGAGAGGCCATATAAATGTAAGGAATGTGGGAAAGCCTTTTTTCAGTCCTCACACCTCACTAACCATGTAAGATCTCATACTGGAGAGAAACCTTATGAGTGTAAGGAATGTGTGAAACCCTTTAGTTGTTTCTCATCCTTCCGTAAACATGTTAGAACTTTCCATGAAGTTAGACCTTATGATAGGAACGTGAGAAAGCCTTTAGTCAGTTCTCATATATCACTGACCGTATAAGATCGCAGAATGAAGACCACCTGCAGTGCGGGAAATTGGTGTCATATGAGCTTTCTAGCTATGGTCTTCTAACTCCCACAAAATGATTGGGGAGACTATGCAAATAGGTGCATGGAACACTTGTAGGGGGTTGGTCAGTTTTGCCATCCTACTAGGTTTAAGAAGAGCCAGTCCCAGAAGGAGTAGAGGGATCCCACTATCATCAGGAAGACTGGCCAGGAGGGGAGCACATCCTTTGGACCTGGAGTCCTTGTGCTTAGAACCTTCTTGATCCAGGAGACAGAGCTTAATGCTATAAGAGGAGCACTGGAAACAGTGACAAGTGGCAAGCACAACTGACAGGCAATATAACCAGGAGACCAGCACAATATGGCACAGTGGGCTTCCTGGCCCCCAGAGCAAGGCAGCCACAGTGGGCTTGCCAACTCACAAGAGAGAGCTGAGCCTGTTTGGATAAGAGGCTTCCTGACAGAGTAGAGTGCCTCCGGGCACTAACCAGCATGGTTAAGGAGCTGTAATACTTGCCCAAACAGTGCAGAGGCTGGCAGCAGAGATCAGGTCTAAACAGGGCACACCAGCAACAAGACCCTGACCAGGGCCCAGAGGCAGAGTAAGAAACTCCTATTTGAAGAACTGTTTCTTGAGCTGTTTCTGTTACCTCCATATTTATACTGATTTTAAATTGTAACTTGTTAACTTAGTAAACCTCAATTGTGAATATGGTCTCTGAGTTCTGTGTGCTATTGCAGGGAATGATTGAACCCAGGAGAGAAGTAGAGTGCTGTGGGAGGCATGACTGGTGTCAGAATTGGTAAAAAGACTGGAGGGTGGAGGTAATGTTTGTCTTCCACCTAATAGGAATCAGATTTGGTCTTTGGAGGAATCAGATTTGGTCTTTGGAGGAATCAGATTTGGTCTTTGGGTTGATGATGACAGTGATTCTCTCTGCTCCCCGTGAAGTATCGAAGATGGCTTCTAACACCATACTGTTTTTACAGACACCTTACGAACGGTAATGAATGTAGGAAAGCCTTATTTGGTCCCCATCCCTCACCATAGAACAGTGTACATTTTAGAGAGGCCTTGAGCATAATGTTGGAAAGCTTTAGTGTTTGTACGTCACTAACCATAAAGGAATTTCCAGTCGAGAGAAAGCTTAGGAATGTAAGGAATGTGGGAAAGCCTTTAGTTATTATTCATTCCTCAATAAACATGTAGGAACTCGGTGGAAAGGGGCCTTGCATATGTAAGGAGTAAGGGAGACTTCAGTTCTTGGCCTTTTGAAGATGTGGCAGAAAGTACAAATGAAAGAAAGTGTAATTTTGGAAGGCTTTTTGTAACCTCTAATCTTTTAAAAAATCCTGAAAGAAAACACGTGGGAGAGAGACCATGTTGTAGTGTAAGGAGTGTGATATGGCAAAGTTTTTCCTTTTCCCTCTGTACATTCCAAGATGTGAGGTTTCATGCATATAGGAAGGCCTTCACTAATAACCTCTATCAAATATGTGAGAAGTCATACTTCTGAAAAATCTTGTGTATGTAAGGAACATGGAAACACAAGTTTTTTTTGGAATTCTTAGAAAATATGTGAATTATTACAATGTGGATTGAGCTGGTTGGTTCAAACTGCCAACTTTTCGGTTAGCAGCCAAGTGGCTATCCACTGCGTCACCAGGGCTCTTTCCATTGATCCTAGTGATAGTGAAAATACTGAAAGTCTATAAGTGTCAGTATACACCAGGAAGGGAGTTTTCAATAAATGCCTGGCTGCATATCATAGTACTGTACTATCGATAAATGAATGTTTTCTGTATGCTTTAAGAGAAAGTTTACAATTCAGGTTAGTCTCTCATACAAAAGTTTCTACACACATTGTTATATGACCTTAGTTGCTCTCCCTATACTGTGACAGCACACTCCTCCTTTCCACCCCAGATTTCTTATGTCCATTCAACCAGCTACTATCCCTCTCTGACTTCTCATCTCATCCCCACACAGGAGCTGCCCATTTAGTCTCATGTGTCTACTTGAGCTAAGAAGCACACTCTTTACTATCATTTTATGTCCCATAGTCCAGTCTAATCTTTGTCTGAAGAGTTGGCCTCAGGAATGTTTTAGTTTTGGGCTAACAGAGTCCGGGAACCATGTCTTTCAGGGTCCCTTCAGTCTCAGACCATGAAGTCTGGTCTTTTTACTAGAATTTGAGTTCTGCATCCCACTTTCCTCCTGCTCCATCAGGGACTCTGTTGTGTTCCCTGTCAGAGTGGTCACTGGTGGTAGCCACGCACCATCTAATTCTGGTCTAAGGCTGATGGAATCTTTATGTGGCCGTTTTGTCTTTTGGGCTAATACTTTCCTCGTGTCTTTGCAGTTCTTCATTCTCCTTTGCTCCAGGTGGGTTGGGACCAATTGATGCATCTTGGCTGCTTACTAGCTGTTAAGACCCCAGATGTCACTAACCAAAGTGGGATGCAGAACATTTTCTTAATAAACTTTGTTATGCCAATTGACCTAGATGTCCTCTGAAACTATGGTCCCCAGACCACCGCCCCTGCTACTCTGTCCCTCAAAGTGGTTGTATTCAGGACACTTCATAGCTTTTGGTTTAGTCCAGTTGTGCTGACATCCCTTGTAGTGTGTTGTTTTTCCCTTCACCTAAGATAATTCTTGTTTACTATTTAGTTTGTAAATATCCCCTCCCTCCACACCCTCATAACCATCAAAGATTGTTTTCTTCTGTTTAAACCTTTTCTGGAGTTCTTATAATAGTGGTCTTATATAATATTTGTCCTGTGACTGACTAAATTCACTCAGCATAATGCCCTCCAGATTCCTGAATGTTATGTTCCATGGATTCATTGTTCTTCATCATCATGTAGTATTCCATGGTGTAAATATACCATAATTTGTTTATCCATTCATCTGTGGATGGGCACCTAGGTTTTTTCCATCTTTTTGCTATCGGGAACAGTGCTGCAGTGAACATGGGTGTGCATATATCTATTCGTGTGACGGCTCATTTTCTTTAGGATATATTCCAAGGAGTGGGATTGCTAGATCATATGGTGCTTCTATTTCTAGTTTTTTAAGGACCAAATCGATATCCAAAGTGGTTGTACCATTTTACATTCCCACCAGCAGTGTGTAAGTGTTCCAGTCTCTCCGCAACCTCTTCAACATTTATTATTTCGTGATTTTTGGATTAGAGCTAGCCTTGTTGGGGTTAGATGGTATCTCATTGTAGTTTTGATTTGCATTTCTCTAATGGCTAATGATCGTGAGCATTTCTTCATGTGTCTTTTAGCTGCCTGAATGTCTTCTTTAGCGAAGTGTCTGTTCATATACTTTGCCCATTTTTAATTTTTTGTTGTTGAGGTTTTGCAGTATTTTGTAGATTTTAGAGATTAGATGCTGATGGGATTTGTCACAGCCAAAAAATTTTTCCCAGTCTGTAGGTTGTCTTTTTACTCTTTTGGTGAAGTCTTTTGATGAGCGTGTTTGACTTTTAGGAGCTCCCAGTTATCTAGTTTCTCTTCTAGTGTTTATGCATTGTTATTTATGGTTTGTATTCTGTTTTTGCCATGTATGAGGGCTCCTAGTGTTGTCCCTGTTTTTTCTTCCTTGATCTTTATCGTTTTCGATTATATATTTAGGTCTTTGATCCTTTTTGAGTTAGTTTTTGTGCATGGTGTGAGGTATGGGTCTTATTTCATTTTTCTGCAGATGGATATCCAGTTATGCCAGTACCATTTGTTAAAGAGACTGTTTTTTCCCCAATTAACAGACTTTGGGCCTTTGTCAAATGTCAGCTGCTCATAGGTGGGTGAATTCATGTCTGGATCCATAATTCTGTTCCGTTTGTGTATGTATCTGTTGTACCAGTACCAGGCTGTTTTGACTACTGTGGCAGTATTATAATAGGTTCTAAAATCAGGTAGTGTGAGGCCTCCCACTTGGTTCGTCTTCAGTAATGCTTTACTTATCCAGGGCCTCTTCCCTTTCCATATGAAGTTGGTGATTTGTTTCTCCATCTCATTAAAAAATGCTGGTGGAATTTGGATCGGGATTGCATTGTATCTGTAGATTGCTTTGGGTACAATTGACATTTACACAATGTTGAGTCTTCCTATGCATGAGCAAGGTATGTTTTTCCACTTATGCAGGTCTCTTGGTTTCTTGTAGTAGTGTATTGTAGTTTTCATTGTATAGATCTTTTACATCTCTGATTAGATTTATTCCTAAGTATTTTATCTTCTTGGGGGCTATTGTAAATGGTATTGATTTGGTGATTTCCTCTTCAAAGTTTTCTTTGTTGGTGTAGAGGAATCCAACTGATTTCTGTATGTTTATCTTGTATCCTGATACTTTGCTGAAATCTTCTGTTAGTTCCAGTAGTTTTCTTGTGGATTCTTTGGGGTTTTCTGTATATAAGATCATATCATCTGCAAATAGAGATACTTTTACTTATTCCTTACCAATTTGGATGCCCATTATTTCTTTTTCTAGCCTAATTGCTCTGGCTAGGACCTCCAGCACAATGTTGAATAAGAGTGGTGATAAAGGGCATCCTTGTCTGGTTCCCATTCTCAAGGGGAATGCTTTCAGTGTCTCTCTGTTGTTGGCTTTCTATAAATGCCCTTTATTATGCTGAGGAATTTCCCTTGTATTCCCATTTTGCTGAGAGTTTTTGTCATGAATGGGTGTTGGAGTTTGTCAAATGCCTTTTCTGCATCAATTGATAAGATCATGGGGTTCTTGTCTTTTATTTATGTGATGGATTACACTGATTGGTTTTCTAATGTTAAACCATGACTGCATACCTGGTATGAATCCCACTTCGTCATGGTAAATTATTGTTTTGATATGTTGTTTGTTGAATTCTGTTGGCTAGAATTTTGAGAGTTTTTGCATTTATGTTCATAAGGGATATTGGTGTGTAATTTTCCTTTTTTGTGGTGTCATTACCTGGTTTTGGTATCAGGGTTATGCACACTTCATAGTATCAGTTTGGGAGTATTCTATCCTTTTCTATGCTCTAAAATACTTATAGTAGTAGTGATGTTAACTCTTCTCTGAAAGTTTGGTAGAATTCTCCAGTGAAGCTGTCAGGGCCAGGGCTTTTTTTGGTTGGGAGTTTTTAAATACCTTTTCAATCTCGTTACAAGTTTATTCAGTTCTACCTCTCTGTGTTAGTTTAGGTAGTGAGTTTTTAGAAATTTGTCCAATTCCTCTAGGTTTTCGAGTTTGTTACAGTATGGATTTTTCATAGTATTCTGTTTTGATTCTTTTAATTTCAGTTGGGTCTATTGTGGTATCACCCATCTCATTTCATATTCAGGTTATTTGCTTCTTGTGCTGTTTTTCTTTTGTCAGTTTGGCCAGCAGCTTATCAATTTTGTTGATGTTTTCAAAGAACCAGCTTTTGGTCTTCTTAACTCAATTGTTTTTCTATTTATGTTATTTAATTCTGCTCTAATTCTTATTATTTGCTTTCTTCTGGCACCCGATGGCTTCTTTTCCTGCCTTCTTTCTACTTGTTCAAGTTGTAGGGTTAATGTTTTGATTATGGCCTTTTTTTCTTTTTGGATGTGTGCTGTTATTGCTGTTAACTTATCTCTGAGCACTGCTTTTCCTGTGTCCCAAAGGCAATTGTAGGATATATTATCATTATCATTTGATTTTATGAATTTCTTTATTCCATCCTTAATTTCTTCTATAACCCAGTAGTTTTTGAGCAAGGTGTTGTTCAGTTTCCATGTGTGGCTTTTTTTTTCCTTTTTCTGTTATCAATTTCTACTTTTATGGCTTTATGGTCAGAAAAGATGCTTTGTAATGTTTCAACGCTTTGGATTCTGTTAAGGTTTGTTTTATGGCTTAATATGCGATCTATTTTGGAGAATGTTCCATGTGCATTGGGAAAGAAAGTATACTTGGCTGCTGTTGGGTGGTGTTCGGTATATTTCTGTGAGATCAAGTTGGTTCATTGTGGCTTTTAGATCTTACATGTCTTTATTGAACTTCTTACTGGATGTTCTACCCTTCACCGAAAGTGGTGTGTTGAAGTCTCCTACTATTATTGTGGAACTATCTCTCTTTTCAATGCCATTAGAGTTTATGTATTTTGGAGCCTTGTCGTTGGGTGCATAAATATTATGGTTATGTCCTCCTGGTGTATTGACACTTCAATGATTATATAGTGTCCTTCTTTATACTTTTTGGTGGATTTTACTTTAAAGTCTACTTTGTCAGAGATTAATATTACCCCTCTTGCTCTTTTTTGAGTGTTGTTTGCTTGATATATTTTTTCCATCCTTTGAGTTTTAGTTTGTGTCTTTAAGTCTAAGTTGTGTGTCTTGTAGGCAGCATATAGATGCATTGTTTTTTAATCCCTTCTGCTATTTTCTTTATTGGTGCATTTAGTCCATTTACATTAAGCGTAATTATTGAGAAGTATGTTTAGTGGTGTCATTTTGATGTCTTTTTTTGTGTTGTTGACAGTTTCTTTGTTCCATTTAACTTTCTGTGCTGAGTTGTTTTTCTTTATGTATTTTCTTTTCATCTTTTTCATTGTTGTTGATTTTGTATTTGCTGAGTGTTTTTCTTGCTTTTTATTTTGATTTGTAGGATTGTTAGTTTTCTTTGTGGTTATCTTAATATTTACCCCTATTTTCAACCAATCTTTTATTTCTTTGTATTGCCTTGACTTCCTTTCCATATGAAAGCTGTATGACTGCATTTTTTAGTTCCTCTTTTTTGTTTTAATGTTATCTTTTACATATTGATGTCTCTGTTTCCCTATTTACAGTGTTTTAGCATTGATTTATTTTTATGACTTTCCTATCTGGGTTCTTATCTGGTTGCTCTGTCCTGTGTTCTAGTCTTGTGTTGTTATCTGATGTTATAGATTTTCTAACTGGAGGACTCCCGTT